TGGTAGCATAGTGCCTAAGGCACTTGACTGCTAACCAGAAGGCTGGCAGTTCAAACCCACCAGCCACTCCTTGGAAGGAAGGTTGGGCAATCTAGTTCCGTAGTGATACCGACTGGCAAACCCAAGGAGGGGTCGCTATGAGTCGGGTTGACTCCACGGCACATAATAGCAACAACAATTCTTTATAAAACGGTACCAATTCCATGTGCGTTTTCTACATTACTAGGCAGAAGGCAGTTCATTCCAAAAGTATTGGGTGCCTACAAAAATGCCACATACTTACCGGTTGTAAAATTACCAAAACATTCCTGCTCTCAAAAAGCTTTTAGTTTTGTGATTTGTAATCTAAGTCTCTAATTTTAGAGGTTTCAATTGAGAGTACATTTTTCAAAATCAGGAAGACTTGAAAGCATGTTTTGGATGAGAATTTTGTAAACAAGAGGATCCAATATCATTAGTTAAAGAATATGTTTATACTTTTTTAAAGGCACTTTTTTTGCGTTTCTCCAGCACTCTAATCAGAGACGCTCAATTTATGAAACAACTTCAGTTTCCAAAGAATTTATTAGCATGATTATTTTAAGTAGTGAGAAATTATTTTAAGTTGGCTTGAAATGAAGCAAAACGAAATGCAACACAACCATTGCAGTGGAGTCATAGTGACCCCTCCTTGGTTTTCCGAGGTAGTATAACTAAGGAAGTAGATTGCCCAACCTTTCTTCCGTGGAGTGCCTGGTGGCTTTGAACCGCCAGCCTTCTGGTTAGCAGTCAAATCCCAGAGCTCAATGTGTTTTATTATAAACTGTGTTGTTGTTACATGCCGTTGAGTCCGACCCGACTCATAGCGACCCGTCCTTGGGTTTCCGAAGCAGTATCACTACGGAAGTAGATTGCCCCATCGTCCCTCCGAGGGGTGGCTGGTGGGTTTGAACCGCCAGCGTTCTGGTTAGCAGTCAAGTGCCTTGGGCACTATGCTACCAGAGCTCCTTATAAACTGTGTAGCCATGTAGTATAATTTATTAGTATACCGTTTTATGAAGTGGCTTTAAATGTAGCACAAAAGAGTCTTCGGATGAACTGTTTTTTCACCATTCTAATTAGATTTTCCTTCTTCCAGAATTTTTTTTATCTCTATCATTGTTACCTGCATATCTTACTTGTATGACATTTCCTTAGATCTTTAATTATTATAACTCTTAGATAGTAGACATCAATTGTGGCTGGTGAGTTTTATAGAGTTTATTAAAACTAGAAAATAGCTATGTATTGGTTAACAGGTGAAATCACTCATTTTAAATGCATTAAAAAGAAGAATAAAATTCTTTCATGAAGGAGTAGTGAGATTATCATACCAAAACCTGGGGTCATTTTGGATTAGGCTGGTGGAACCAGAAACTTGGACTGGGGCAGAACCCAAGCACACATCAATGTCTGATAAAACTGAAGATCTGGAGGAAATGAAGGAGGGATGTGCATCTTGATATAGCTTAAGCTAAAGGTCTAGGGAACAATGTAAGAGGAATGAAGCAAGCCTGAGGGGCAAAGCAGGCAAAAATAAGCCACCTCCTCCAACCCCTCCTCCAAAAAGAACAAGTAAAAAAGTGAGCAGTACCTCAGCTCACTGACTGATTCTGTGGTGGAACATTTGTTCTCTTCTGTTTCCTGTATTTGTTTAAAGTGGCTCTTGATCTAGATTTCAAAGGGTAGGAAAGTGTCTGCAATCTGTCAAGTGAGGGGAGATGAGAGCCAGAGCTCCAAATGAGTTCCCAGTAAGTGTATGTGTGTGTATATGTGTGTGTATACACACACATATACACACACATACATATACACATACACATACATATATGGGAGCTCTGGTAGTGTAGTGCCTAAGGCACTTGACTGCTAACCAGAAGGCTGGCGGTTCAAACCCACCAGCTACTCCTCAGAAGGAAGGTTGGGCAATCTACTTCCGTAGTGATACTGCCTCCGAAAACCAAGGAGGGGTCACTATGAGTCAGGTCCGACTCGACGGCACATAACAACAACAACATGCAAATACAAATGAGGAAATCAAACCAGTAACCCATACTAGTTTCTAGTAAGGATCAAATGACAAAGGATAGAAAATTAGGGTTTGCTATAAGGAAATCAAGAGGTCCTTGTGGTACAGTGGTTAAAGCACTCAACTGCTAACCAAGATGTCAATAGTTTGAACCCACTAGCTGCTTTGCAGTAGAAGGATGAGGCAGTCTGCCTACGCAAAGATTTACAGCCTTGGAAACCCTAAGGATCAGTTCTGCTCTGTCTAGGGAGATCTGGTGGCGTAGCACTAAAGTCATTTGACTGCTAACCAGAAGGCTGGCGGTTCAAATCCACCAGCCACTCCTCGGAAGGAAGACTGGGCAATCTACTTCTGTAGAGATACTGCCTCGGAAACCCAAGGAGGTGTTGCTATGAGTTGGAACCGACTCTATGGTAGTGTTTATTTATTTATTTATTTTAATAGAGTCACTATGAATCAAAATCCACTTAACAACAGTAGGTAAAAAGAAATTAACTAAATCATAAAAGAAAACGTTTAAATGTTTAAAACAAAACCAAAAACCAAACTCACTGCTGTTGAGTCAGATCCGACTCATAGTGACCCCTCCTTGGGTTTCCAAGGTGGTATCACTACAGAAGTAGACTGCCCAACCTTCCTTCTGGATAGCAGTCAAATGCCTTAGACCCTATGCTACCAGAGCACCTTTAATGTTTAAAGAAAATGACAATACGTAACAAGAAGCTTGTGGAAGCTTCTCTGAATTCTGTATTTATTTAAATACATGTTCACTGAACAGAAGTAAATACAGAGTTGGATAGCAGCTGCAGAGCTGTTAGAGTTTCTTGTAACCCCTTCCTAAAAATCTAAAAAGTCGGGCATCTAGTTACATTTGTCAGGCAGCATACAGCTTTTCAGTTTTCTGTGTTATATTAGCGTTGAGGAGGAAAGTTTTCTCATCTTTACCATAGGCTGCCAGAAGAATAAACAAATCAGTGTTCAAAAATACACAATCACAATGCTTCTTAGAAGTGAGTATGGTGAGACTTTGACTCATTTACTTTGGCCATGTCATCAGGAAAGCCCGATCGCTATAAAAGGACACGTTTGGTAGAGAGAGTCAGTGAAGATGAGGGAAATCCTCAGTAAAATGGATTGACACAAAGCCATAACAATGGGCTGAAACATGCCGAAGATCATGAAGATAGCACAGGACTGGACAACATTTCTTTTATTACATATAAGGTTGTTATGAACTGGACAGCAGTTAACAACAACAGTAAATGGAGAGATGTACCGTGTTCATAGGTCAGAAGAATCAGAATTGTTAAGATGTCATTTCTCCCAGATTGCTCGAAATTCAGCACAATCCCATTCAAAATCCTAACAGACTTTTTTGTAGAAACTCTTAAACTGATTCAGAATTCATGTGAAAATACAAAGGACCTAAAAGAGCCAAATTTTTTTGGAAAAAAGAAAAGTTGTAGGGCTAACATGACCCTGTTTCAAGAAGTAAATCAGCATAGTAATATTGTAAA